CATGTTTATCCTATAGAGCTATCATGCTCCCCATGTTTGAACTTGTTGCTGTTAAATGCTATTGAGTCAGTTCCAACTCTTAGCAACCCTGAATAGGGTTTCCAAGGAGTGGCTGGTAGGTTTGAACTGCTGACCTTTTTTGGTTATCAGTTCAGTGCTGATCCTACAGCGCCACACCAGGGCTCCATGTTTGAACTATCTATATCCTATTTCTATTATATGTCACTTATATGACAACAATTCCATAGTATAAGATCACAAAAGATAGAACAGTGTATTTTAACTTTTTATTGTGAATTGAGTTAAGGTTAACAGACAAGATTATCAGCTTTACATTCAACATCTTACATGCTTTGGCATCCTACATGCTCCCCGTGACTTTCCTTTTTTGCACCTTAATAGTTCACAAATGAGCAAAGCAAAAACATATCTCAACATACAAAATAAAAAGTATATATTCATTTAAATGTCCAAAGTGCACATTCTGCCAATCAGCCTCCTGTCCATAGACAGTCTTTCTCAAAAATCATCGGACCTAGAGCCTGCAGCTGTTCTATCTCTCTATGCCGTCGCCTCTGCCATTGTAACTGCTGTTGCTGCTTTTATAGGGAGGATCTGACGTTTCTCTCATGCTCTTCCTTCATGATGGTCCTGCGGTCATCTGCTCCTAAAATGTAAGATTTACTACTCCCCTGTTTTAGTCACACACCTTCTACAATTACAGTTGTGGCAATTATAATTAATCTTGCAAACAGTTACTCACAATTGAATCATAAAATCTTATCAGCATCATCCCCATCTCCTTCCACCAGATCCATCTGGAAATGAAGAAAACTATTCACTGGTGGTTCAACCTTACCCACCTTGTTTTGAAATCAAGCACATTCATGAAAGCTTGTAAGCCAGCACTTCATGCCATTATAGCCCCCCATTTTGATAGCCTATGTCTAGATTGCTCATCCCTATCAGTCCAGTGCACTGAGAAAACAAGCTTATTCCTTGATATGAAGAATCTTTCCATTGTGGTTGGAATTTTGAGCAACTGCATCCATAAGCAAAGGTCTAGTTCATCAAATTGTAGCAAGTTAAAATTGGCCTCATTGTCTAGCATCTTTATCTTCATCTGGTCGAGTTTTGGTCAGCTAGCCATCCAGGCTAGGTCAAATGGGTACTAGCTGCAAGTTTGGGAGTTCACCCAAGCTTACTTGCATTTCAGACCAGCTAGCTGCTTCACTCTTAGTTCTAGCTTCCAGTGGCTAGGTCAGTGCCCGTGACTTGAGAGTTCACAAATCTCCCTAAACTTTGAACCTCTTTTCTCTCTTATCTTGAGGTCTACTGGTGTCAGTGGAACATGGCCACACTCAGCCCATGTCTTCATTGCTGCACCTCTCCCTCTTCTACTCATAAGTAGACCCGGGTGGTCACCAGTGAGCATACTAGAATGCTTTTGGATCCTTTTGAGTTTCAAGGGGACTGTACTTTCAGTATTTGGTAAATTTAGTTATTCTGTTAAGCAGAGATGGGCTCAGACAGGCAACGCAGCAACAGGTTCATTTGTACCAAAAAAGGTTCATAAGTTATTTTTTATTAGACTGATAGAGGTCTTTCATTTTTATCACTGTGGTTCTCTGCCTTTCCAAAGGTAAAATATCTTTTAGAAGGTTGTCATTCTAGATTTCACTTTGGACAGATACTCAGAGCCAGATGTCATTGTGCTTTGAAATAGAGCCAACTTTATCTCTAAGTCTTCTTACAAATGTAGATGGGTTTTACTGAATATAGGATGGTAAACTATTGAGTGTCTATGTCCTCACTTGAGACAGTGACCTCTCTTCAAGTTTCAGTCTTGGAATAATGTATACTTATGAAGAAAATACTCTGTTTCTAAAAATCATGAAATCTTGCTGATATATTGGGATGGTTGTCTTTACTGAAAATAGCGTTTATGTGGCCATCAGCTTTATATTTACTGTATAACATACATTGGGGTCACTAGAAATAAAATTAGTACTGTTGTTTGCATTTGTTAATTTAAAAACTGACAAGTTGTTTTCAGTTGCATAGCTTTGAAATGTAATTCACAGTGAAATTACTGCTTTATACATCCCCTATTATTCTGTTGAATTGAGATTAGCTTTTTTAGAAGTATCATTTTAGATAGAAAGTACAGTTTTAAAAGATGAAATGAAAAAATGGATACAGGCAGCCTTGCTTTTCGAAGTTGCACTATTCATGACTTTCACTTACCAGAGTTTATTTGAATTACATCTGTCCCTCAACAATATAGTTCAAATTTCAGATACCGTAGTATACTCATGGTAAGTAATTGCATGATATATTAACCTTCTGTCCGTAGATCACTACCATAAGTTATAAATGCATATGATCAGTGACCAACTGTTCACTTCTTTTGTAGCCTGTCAGTGATTAATTTGTTATTGCACATCTCTTGTTACTCAGTTAATGCACAGACAGCAGAGCATGTAGTTGTATTGCTTCCGTATCTCCCAATAAGGAATCCATGTGACATTTTGTAAAACTAGATAATCAAAATAGGGAAACAGTCAACAAAGATAATAGTGAAGCAATGGAACAAAAAGTCATAATTGGAAGTAAAAGTCAAGTCACATGTAATGGAGTTATAGAAGAAAAAGCTGACGGAGAATGTTTGTTGTTAAGTGCCGTTGAATCAGTTCTGACGTATAGGGACCCTGTATAGGGGTTTCTGAGGAGCGGCTGGTGGGTTTGGACTGCTGACATTGTGCTTAGTGGTTTTAGTGCTTATGGCTTTACAATACATTCAGAGAATGGAACAATGTGGTTAGAAAGAAAGGACCATAATAAATTGTTAGCTGTCCTGCAGCCAACAGCCATTAAGTTGATTCCCACTTATCATGACCCTATATAGGGTCTCCAAGGCTATAAATGTTTATGGAAACAGAAAGCCTCAGGTTTCTTCTGCAAGGTGGCTGGTGGTTTGAACTGCCAATCTTGTGGTTAGCAGTCCAGTGTTTATTTCACAGTACCACTGTATGTCAGTAGTTCGTTTTTATTGCTAAGTAGGACTAGCAGGTAGAAGTCTCTGGGTTACACAAACAGTTAAGCACTCATCTACTAGTCAAAAGTTTGGCAGTTCAGACCCACCCAGAGGTGCCTGCAAAGACAGGCCTGATGATACGCTTCCAAAAGGTCACAACTTTGAGAACCCTATGGGGCAGTTCTGTTCTGCTCATAGGGGTCATTATGTTTTGGAAACAACAGCAAATTACAGTAGTATTTCATTATACAAATATGACACTTAATTCATTCTCTTCTTGATAGATAATTGGATTTCTGGTTTTCCATTCTTATGGCTGAAGCTGCTATGAACTTATTTACTTTTTGGGTTCTGCTGCCTTCTATTGACTTTTTGCTGCAGACGTGCTAAATGGAATATTCTTTGATTGTATCATACTTTTTCTTTATACTTTTGGATGTATGCTATTACCGTTATGCCTTCCTCCTGGTGACTTTTTGCTGAAGACATGCTAAATGACATATTCTTTGATTGTGCCATATTTTTCTGTATACTTTTGGATGCATGCTATTACTTTTACCTGTCATACCTTACCATTAATTATATCTGATTGGCAAAATTTTACATATTTTGTAAGGTTGGGTTCAGCTGTTACTAACAGTTCCAAAATAGACTTTTTTAATGTACTCATCAAACTTTATTCACACGATTGCTTATTGTTGTAGTTCATGTTTACATGCCTGTCTTCTTCATTCAGTTGTGATGTTCATCTAAATTTTCTCAAGTCCAGCTCATCATTACAATAAAAGCCATAATTTATTTATTGCTTTCTAAGTTGTAGGTCTCTTATGATACTTTTTTTTTTTCTTGCCGCTGAGTTTGGCTTACCTTTTTCTATCATTGATTCTTTATGGGTTCAGTTGCATTTAGCCTGACCCATTGGAAGGAGCCCTGGTAATATAGTGGGTTATGAGCTGTGTTGCTAACTGCAAGGTCGGTAGTTTGAATCTACCATTCACTCCTTAGGAAAAAGATGAGACTTTTTATTCCCGTAAAGCTTTACAGCCTCAGAAACCCTGTACAGGGTGGCAATGAGTTGGAACTGACATGATGGCATGAATACCACCACCATAGTAAATACAGATAGTCCCTGATTTATGATGGGGTTCTGTTCAGACGACTCTGTCGTGGTCAGTTCCGATGTGAGGTGAACATCGTTACTATTTTTTTAGTTCTCATAATTATTGCCTTTCATTATCAGTATCTTTATAAATCTGTGTTTGAACATATGTGACTGACATCTGAGGATGGTAACATCAAGCAAATTGTGCTTTGCAGTGTTGTATGTAATACATATAAGATGTACCCAAAAAGCAACAGCCCAACTAAGTGCGGTAGTTTGTAATAAGTTGTTAATTTTGGACTACCTTGGGCGACTTATATAACCTTTTTGCCAAATGTTCTGGGTTAAATAGGGATAAGGATACTTATCTTAATAAGGTAGTTTGTAAGGATTAAGTTAGATGACCTCTAGTGCTTAATATGTGTGCAGAATTAATGTTACTTCTTATGTCTTTTCCTTCTTTTGTTCCATAGCACTTACCACATTGTATTGCAGTGGTTTATTTTATCTGTGCCAGGTGGTAGGATTCCTGGAGATTTTCTCTTAGGTAATTTCAGTAATTCTCAACTTTTATAAAAGTAAGTGGTCTGTGAAAATAATTCTCAAAACCAAAACAATCCAATAAAGTTACTCCAGGAATTTGTTACTAAAACAAACATAAGGATGCTGTTGTAGTAGACAGATTATTTGAGTAACTGATGTTCATTTTTTAATACTCACAGTTCTATAATAAATTGACTGTACTTCCTCTATTGGTGACACTTATCTGAGGCCTTATTTTAGCCTTCTGAGAATTTCATTATCAATGTGTTGTTTCATTGATTCCAGTGTCTTTTCCTGACTCTTTTGATTGCCTTGCAGAGCTCTGAGGAACATGAGTGCAGTGATGAAACCTCTCAGGAAGATGAGAGGTTTATGGGCATGTCCCCTCTCTTACAAGCCCATCATGCCATGGAAAGAATGGAAGAATTTGTTTGTAAGGTAAGATGGCAATTTCTTGTCATTTCCATGCTATGTATTTATACCCCAACAGGAACATCTAAAGAGAACAGTAGTAGTTGTTTAGACTGGAACTTTGGGGACTAATGGGAGAGAGGCAGGTTCGTAACTTTAACCCTTTCAAGGTGCACAATACATTTGTTTGCTGAGAATAGATGTGATACTTAGTTTTCAGAAAACTAAATATCCAATTGGGAAACAAGTATTACCTGATGCAGGTTGACAGAGTTAATGTCTTTTTGATAGTTTAAACAAGACAGATTGATACAAAATTGGGGGTAAATTTAAGGGGAGATATTAAAATGCAATTTCCAAATCCTTTGCATCTGCTCTGCTGTTTGACTGTGGTGGCAGATTTACTGTTTTTTCTAGGGACTCTTCGGGTAATAAAACTCTAAATAGAAATCTCCCAGTTTTCAGGCACCGCTAGTATTTTCATTTCTACTGGTATATTTTCTGCCTCTTAAAATTTTTCTTCCACTTCATTGTCTGATTCATCAGGACTTTATTGTGGGAAATACATACTTTTTTTTTTTTTTCTTAAGTGCTAACTAGAATTGAGGTTATTTAGGAAAAATAGTAAGGGACACTGGTAAATTTATAGTCACTTGATCAATCTGCCCAATAGGTGAAAGGGGCCCTGGCATATGTGACCTGTGTGTGTGTCCACATACATATTAAACGTTTCTCGTGAACTCTTATTAAAATCTTTTTGGAAAGCAATTTGTGACATTTATCTTTTAATGCGTTCTATGAAATTGAGAGTTTTAAATTAACGCATGTGCTCTTACACCCTAAAAGCTAAATTTAGACTTTCTTACATTCACAATGTACCTGGAAATATTGGAGCCAGTCATTTTAGAATACTATACTTTGGTGGGCCATGGGAGAAGAAAACATGATCTGAACATAAACATCCTTTTCAAGGGTGGTGGTGGTGTTTATGGACACAGAGTCAAGGAGCTTTTATTCAGTGTTTGTAAATATCTCTATTGTAATTATTGTGGTCCTAGGAGTTTCAGTACAAAGGGAAACAAAAGATAGATTATTGTTTTTCTAAAAACGTATTTGATGTTCTGAAGTCTCTCAAATTGTGTATTAAGTCTTGGCCATTGGGGACTTTTAATTCTTAGGCAAGTGTAGGGCACTATAGCCAACTTGACTGACTTTTTGTCCTTTCAGTACTAAGAAAAAAGAATAGTGCAAATAAAGCTTTCAGTTTAACACTAATGAAAGAATAAGTACTAGAGCATTTATTTGCATCAAGTTCATTATTGAAGAAAAATGAGTGGTGCTCAAAGTTATGACCATTCCTTTACCCATATCAATTTACCTGTGAGAGCAGAATGAAGATGTGTCCTATTATACAATGCTCTCCAGGATTGTGCCACCTTGCTGTGGCAGTGCAATTAACCATACTTGAAAAGTAGCCATGCTTAATGACACAAGGATTCTGTTTCTTGGATTGAAAACAATAAGTACACAGAGCACAGTTTAAAATGAGGCGTGCCATGACCTTGATGGTGTACCTTCCTTTTAGGAAAAGGTTTCCTTATAGGATTGAAGAAACTAAACTCATTTAATATGTAGAGTTTCCAAGTTTTATTTTTATCTGTTTCCTAGCCTTCAGTTTTTATTTTATCAGCATAGCCAGGCCAATAATGGGGGAAATAGGAGGTGTGCTGTGGTCAGGTGTATTTTATTTTGTTTTTCTAATTTATTTTTTAGTTTCTAGTGCATTTTATGGTCTAATGCAAAATAGCACTTTTGATTTGCTTACAACCCTGAGATTTGTATATTGTGGCCTGCCTCAAGGATTTAAGAATTATGTTTCTGTTTTACCTCTTCCCGTTAGAAAATAAGTTTCCCAAAATAAAACAGCAGCATTTTGAAGGCTAATCTCAATAATAACTGTGTGTTATAAATTCAAATTGAGCATAAAAATTTAGTGTTTTGATGGCTTTTTTTCTCTCCAGAAAGTCCTCTGAAAGATCTCATAAGCTACAGGTGCTTTTACAAGTGATAGATTTGAGACATTAACTATCTAGATTAGTCTTTCGGCACGGTTGCATTGTATGTTAGGAATTAGCATGGAAAGACTAGATTAGCCTCAGCAAAGATAGGCCCCAGATTATGGGGGAGGTGGGGGGCAGGGAGGGAGAAGGGAGAATGAATATGTATGTATTGATATGATAGGGTGTTAGGCGGGCCATTTCTGTTTAAAAATTGTTAATCCTTACTTCTTTTTGGCGGTGGAGGAAGTATTACACAGAGGATTGGTTCTTTTACAAATGTCAATAAAGAAGGATTAATGTGAGCGGACTGCTGGAAAATGTTGTGGAGAGAAAGGAATGGGTACTGTAGGGGCAGTCATTCTGTGTAATAGAGAAAATCATGTTTCTATGACTTGGTCATATTTGCTACAAGACTCCTGGGGGCTACAAGGTATCATTGTCTGAAGCTGAAGTCTATTGATTTTTAGCGTGGATTCTTGCTTTGTAGAGTACTAGATGAATGGACTGCTAAGACCACATTGTTAACTGGAAGGGTATTCCTTGAGTTTTTCTTTACATCTTTCTGGGAGTCCTGGTGTTCTGTAGGATAAGCATTGGATTGCTAACTTCAAGGTTGGTGGTTCAAACCCACCAGCAGCTAGCTCCTGGGAAAGCTTATACAGGATTCTATGAATCGGAACCAGCTCAAGGGCACTTAGCAGCAACAGCAACCAGAACTAGTTAGTTTAGAATTACGTGATCTCTGGGCCTAGAGATGTTTAAAACAAATTCCCAGAGTACCAAGGTTGTAAAACTTCATCATTTTTTATCCTTTTCTCATCATAGGAGAGAAATAACAAGGAAAAGGATAGCAAGTGGCTAAGGGACATGAAGGATAATTTAAGGCTGAGCGCTTTTGCCATTCTCCATCATGAGAAAGAGTAGATTAATCACTAACTCTCAAGCAGATGAGATCCTTGGGGATTGTTAGAATTACATACTTTGGGTATATGCTAGATAGTATGAGCTCATTTATGAAGTGTGTTATTTCATCTAACCCTTCCTTATAAAGAAATGTAAGCACTGTTTCCCGCATTTTGAAGGAGCCCTGGTAGCGTAGTAGTGGGTTGCTAACGGTAGCGGTAGTTGGGCTGCCAGTCACAAGGTCAGCAGTTTGAATCTACCAGCTGCTCTGTGGAAGAAGGATGAGGCTTTTTGTTGCCGTCAGATTTGCAGTCTCAGAAACACTGTACATGGTCACTGTGAATCGGAACACACCACACCACCACCATGACCACCACCACCACCACCACCACCACCTTCATTTTGGAAACAAGAAAACTAAGGCTCAAAGATTTTGTGATTAGTTAAAGCTCATGTAAAACTAATGGCAGAGATTTGAGATTTTCTGGCTGTTGTGCTTTTTTTTTTAACTTCATTTTATTTGCTGTGATTGGATGTGAAAGAGGAAGGGTATGGAGAGATTTTAGCAAAAGGTACAAATGTAAGAGTATATACACCTACTTCTTGTTGATCATCTTGCTGTCAGACATTTTGCATCTATGACAATAGTAAATAATCTACCACCCAACTATTTTGTGCATTAATGGTATGTATCAGGTAGTAATGAATGCTGAGATGCAAGATAAAATAACACTGGTTGTGATGGTTAAGGTTATGTGCCAAATTGTCCGGGCCATGGTAATCACTGATGTAATTGAGCAGTTCTGTGATGGATGTCATCCCCACTTTTGTGATCTGATAATGACCTTGTCTTTGGGACCCATCCATGTCAATAAGTGAGGAGTGGGTATAGTTCTTTTTCCACAGCAGCAGGAGTTAAAATAAAAAAATGATTATCATTAATACCACAGGGGCTTTTTAGAGGTAAAGTTTGGTTTTATAGATGAGAGAAGAGCCTACCTGGGTGAATTTTTGGACCCTTCATTGCACATTTAGCCCTATTGAAACAAAGCACTAAACCACTCTAAAGGGCATGCATGTTCTGTAAGTTTGTTTACTCTCTATTTTTCTTATGAAAAATACCTTTTTTATCAGTGTGTTCTTAAGGATTCAAAATATAGGGCATTACACTTTTTTGAATGTTTGCCTTATAAGAAATCAGTTATTTTTCCTATTATAATACAATGTGGCAAGGGACAGTTGTTTGGAACCAGTGTTGCTGAGTTGACAATTAAACCCACAAAGGTATTTGATGATATTTTTTTCTCCTTCTAGGTATGGGAAGGTCGATGGCGAGTAATCCCTCATGATGTACTACCAGACTGGCTAAAGGATAACGACTTTCTTTTACATGGACACAGGCCCCCCATGCCTTCTTTCCGAGCCTGTTTTAAGAGCATTTTCAGAATACACACAGAAACAGGCAACATCTGGACACATCTCTTAGGTATGTAATATCAGCTGTGTGAATGATTCACTTTATTCCTTTTTATTTTCAGGGATTTTAGGATAGAGACAGAATTTAAAAATTTGGGGCGATTTACCATCTGCTTTGCAAAGTTCTGAATAAAATATGGTATATTTTAATGCACATTGACATGAATTAGTTCTTTAATAGAAATAAGCTGATTTTTGAAATCATTACTTGAACATAATTCACAGTTAAATTTAAATTTGACTTGAAGTAGAATATGATCTGTAGTACACCCTACCCCATCATGATTGGGTTTTAAAGAAAAAATATAATGGGGAAATAGTAGTTTTTCCAACAGATGTTACTGGTACTATTGGGTATCACATCATATATAAAAATTAACTCAAAAAAGTTATTAACTCTTAGAAGAAAAGATAGATGTTAATCTAAGTGACCTTGGATCTGGTAACTTAGAAAAGGACACCTAAAGCACAATCAAAGGGAAAAAAATATAAATTAGATATCATCAAAATAAAAGATGTTTGTATATCAAAAGGATACCATTAAGAAGGTCTGGTAAAAAGAGATGGGTGTAAGATTCTCATGATTCAATAATGAGTAATTTTATCATGACTAATTGCGACTGTCACAATTGTAAAGGTAGAAGTTTTGTAACAGAAACGGGGGAGTAGTCAGTCTTACAGTCCAGAAATAGAGGACCCCCTAGGACCAGTAAGGGACAAGAGTACAAGTGGAATGCAGGACCTTATCCAGAAAAGCAGCAACACCAGAGATGGGGACATGGAGAGAAGGAGCGGCTGAGAATTTTATATTCATGGGAAGAGAGGATCTGAGAGCTGGCAGTCAGGAGACAGACTTACAGAATGTGCCCTTTGGTGGTGTAAATTATTATACATACCCGAGTGTTTTGTTTTTTTTTAAGTTAAAATTAAAATGAATAGAGAGAAATACTGTTAACTGGTGGTACATGGAAGGGATTATAATCATTGTAATGAAATAAGATGTATGATTTGTTGAATGTAAAACTGATGATCTACCCTGTAAACTTTCACTCAATTCACAATAAAAACTTTAAAAAAAAAAAAAAGGACACCAAAATAAGAATGTAAAAAGACAACCCACAGAATGGGAGGAGTCCTGGTGTGGTGCTGCAGAATAATGCATTGAACTGCAAGGTCAGTGGATCAAATCCACCAGCTGCTCCTTGGAAACCATATACAGGGTCACTGAGTCGGAATTGACTCAATGGTAACTAACAGCCACCACATTCAGAGTATAAAGAGCCCCGTAGAATAAGCACTGTACTGCTAACCAGAGGTCAATGGTTCAATTCCACAAGATGCTCAGCGGGAGAAAGATTAGGCTGTCTACTATTTTGTTAACCTTATATAAGGTCGTTGTGAGTCCGAATCTACTTGTTGACAGTGGATGTTTATCTAGATTATGGAAGGAGCTCTTATAATAAAAAGAAAATTACTCACTTTAAAAAATGGGCAAAAGATTTGAGTACACATTTCTCCAGAGAAGACACATGAGTCATCAGTGTTGTGTGCTATCAAGTTTGTTCCGATTTATTGAATATGCCCAATAAAATTAAAAGCATGTTTATACCAAAAAATGTGTATGTACAGAATATGTATACAAATCTTCACTAAAAAAGTGGAAACAGCCCAAATGTTCATAAGCAAACACTGGATAACAAAATGTGGAATATCCATACAAAAAATTTTTTTAACCATAAAAATGAATGAAATACTGTTCTACATGAATATTAAGCTAAGCCAGATATAAAAGACCGTATGTCCACAAAAGGCAAATTCATAGCAACAAAAAGTAGGTTAATAGTTGCCAAGGGTTAAGGGGAGGGAAATATGGAGACTGTTAATGGATACAGGGAGTACTGGTGTAGGGCTGTAGGATAAACACTGGACTGCTAACCACAAAGTCGGCTGTTCAAACCCACCAATTGCTCCTTGGAAAACCTGTACACTATTGAGTCAGAACCAACTCAATGGCACTTAAGAAACAAACCAACCAAATAGGTACAGGGTTTACTTTTTGGGTGGTGAAAATGTTCTGAAATGAGATGATGGCAGTATTTATAAAACCATGTAACTCTACTGTAAGTGGCTCCTGGTGTGATCCCATTTGACTTGTGTTTGTTATCCCCTATTTGCTTTATACCATGGTCCCAATTTCCTGCTTATTAGTATAGTAGTAAGAATAGAGAATCAGATGAAGTTTGTTGCTAATTTCTCCAAGGTAAGTGTTTTATTAAACGCACAAAATAGGATCATTCAGAAAATGTTAACTTCAAAAAAATATCTGTACTTTCCTTGTATTGAGTGACCACATCCCTAAGCAATAAGAACATGGTGTCTATAGTATGAAGAACAACATTTTAAGAAGCGAATATGAAATAGCCTGAATAGACATTTAATTTTTCTTAATTCTTTGCTCTCTTGACCAGAGCAGCATAATGCTTCTTGACTGTTGGTGGAGGAAAGCAGTATTTCTTGGCAGGGTTTGAGGATCTTGAGATTCATCACAAAAGCCAAAGCAAAAAGGACCTTTTTGAAAGCTTGACTGCAGCATGTGTGCCAAAATTTTTATAAGTGAAATTTCATACTAGATCTAGAAGCAGAAGAGGATGCATTCAGTCTTCTAGGAAGTAGCAGTACTGTCTGCTTTCTTTTTGGATCATGCTTTTACATCAGTAGTTTATTGTGTTCTGTAGACTCAGTTTATTAACAGTGTTTGAAGTAAAGCAAAAGTTTGGGTAAGTTACTTTTCTTTGGAAAATTTATTCTCCTGTAATGAATTGAGGTTCATGGTGAGTTGGAATAGACTTGACGATAATGGGTTTTTGTTTTAGTTTTGTAAAGCATTGAAAGCATAATGCTGTCTCTTCAAGATAATGATCTGTATTCCTTCCATGTGCTTCTTTCCTAGGTTGTGTATTCTTCCTGTGCCTGGGGATCTTTTATATGTTTCGTCCAAACATTTCCTTTGTGGCCCCTCTGCAAGAGAAGGTGGTCTTCGGATTATTCTTCTTGGGGGCCATTCTCTGCCTTTCTTTCTCATGGCTCTTCCACACAGTCTACTGCCACTCAGAAGGGGTCTCCCGGCTCTTCTCGAAGTAAGCATCTATAAAGTCTGATTAGTGATTTAGTGTCATTGGGTTAGTAAAAACATCCAGTAAATTGGCAGAATTCTTTATGCCACTTATGGGAAGATTAAAAAAATTTAATCAAAGTAAGCAAACTCTGTTTGACTTTGAGCTGTTATTGATAGCTCACATCATAGAGAGCTGTGGTGTGGGCAGTAATTTTAACATTAAATTAATTTTTTTCCCCCTTCAATCCTAGACTGGACTACTCTGGTATTGCTCTTCTGATTATGGGAAGTTTTGTTCCTTGGCTTTATTATTCTTTCTACTGCAATCCACAACCTTGTTTCATCTATTTGATTGTCATCTGTGTGCTGGGCATTGCAGCCATTATCGTCTCCCAGTGGGACATGTTTGCTACTCCTCAGTATCGGGGTGTAAGAGCAGGTAAGAGCATGAGGAGGTCTTAAATTGGACATTAGTTTGTTCACTAGTCATTTATTTGCCAAGCATTATGCGATCTGCTTGTGATGCTATGATGAATAAATCATAGTTCCTGTCCTCAAGGGGCATTTAATGCAGTGGTAAGTGTTTATGAGCTGTCTTAAAGTATTAGCATTGAGGGGCAGTGGTGAGCTGTCTTATGCAATTCTAATGTGTTTGGTCTGAGTGCTTTGAGTTTATGGTCTTATGCTCTATGGCACTTAACAACAATAACTGTCCATAAGGTGGTGACTCTGTAACCTTAATAAACAAACAACCTTTGTAAAATAACAACAGTTAATTTTATTTCCAGCTTGGAGTATATTTTTATTGTCACTGATTCTTTTTGTTGTTGTGGATTTTTTTTTTTTTTTTTTGTATTTTAAAACGTGTAATCTCCTATGTAATTAAGACCTAAGCACACACTGATTGTACTCTACTAACATATTTTTTTTAGGCGAAAACATAATCCTTCACAGCAACACAGTCTGATATTACCTGCTTTATTTTCTTTAAAAGGAAAAAAAGAAACATTGATTGAGAGACTTCCTTAGTTGATCGATCATACAACCTTGGTCCTTTTTGGGATTTTGAAACACACTACTTTAGAGAATTTTGACAGTATTGGGGCTATGACTTGAGTGATTCTGACTGCCTTCTGTGTCTGGTTGCTGTTTTTTGTTCGTCCAGGAAGCTAAGGATATATATGAAACTTCCTTTACTGAGTACAGTATCTACCCCATCCCCATCAAGTCAGTTGTTCAAAACATAAAAAAACTTCCATCTTTTAAGTGCCCAGTTACAAGTTATAGATTTAGATTACTATTAAATTGCTTCAGTTTATGACATCTCCTGAACTTCCCAGGTTATCAGTGGATAATTGCTTCCTCCACCCTTCCACCCTCACACACTGCCCCCATCTCCCAGAATCTGTTACTTCAGAGAGAGGATGAACTATGTAAAATTGCTTTTTATTGTAATCTGTGTCTGTAAAGAGGCAATATTAAGGGAGTTTTAAACAAACTCCTGGAGCTATCCTTTCCCCAAACATTTAGCAACATAATTCTAAACCCTTTGAAGACTGCTGAGTTGTTCAGCTAAATCTCTCTCAGCAGGAGGTTCCTTGCATTTGTAAATAAATCTATTAGAACACAGCTGTGCTGTCTGTGAGTGTCCCAGAGTTGTCCTTTCAGACAGTTAGCTAATGTTGCAGAGTTAATTAATGATTCTGTTTTGTAATACTGACTTTTTCTTCATTTATTTCTCTCTCGTATTTTTGTCTGTGATTCCTAGGAGTGTTTTTGGGCCTAGGCCTGAGTGGAATCATTCCTACTTTACACTATGTCATCTCTGAGGGATTCCTGAAGGCTGCCACCATAGGACAGATAGGCTGGTTGATGCTGATGGCCAGTCTGTATATCACAGGAGCTGCACTTTATGCTGCCCGGATCCCTGAACGCTTCTTTCCTGGCAAGTGTGACATATGGGTAAGTATGAACAGGAGTGATTAAGTTTGTAAATGTATCTGTTAGTGAGCTGTTGAGATACAGGGGAATGATATAATTGAAAAAGTTTTAAAATTGGGAAACATATTCTACAAAGGGGCTTTTAAAATTTAACAGGAAAATTTGGTTATCTTTTAATTCTATTTTCCCACAAATTTCTTGAAGCCCCCCTCAAACCACTAACTACTTTGTCCCTAATAAAGTGATTCTCTGTATAATACATAAAATCGTAACTAACATTCACTGAGCCCTTCATTGGTGCCAAGCACAGTAACTGAGCTTTACATGGGTTGCCTCATTTAATACGTTTGTCCTGTTAGGTATAATAACTGTTACTGACTTTAGTTTACAGAAGGTCAAAAGTGAGGCTTAGGGAAGTTAAGTTTGGTAATATATAGGTGTACAACTATTAAGTGGTGAAACTAGAATTTGAATCAGATCAGCTTAATATTTGAGCTTGTGCTCCTTTTTACTACACTGTATCGGCAAGCATTTGTTGGGAGTGTTGGTATGGTGCTGTGGGAAAAAGCATTGAACCACAAGGTGGTGGTTCAAACTCAACAGCTGATCGTTAGAAACCCTGTAGTATCGCTGTGAGTGGGAACTGACTCCACGGCACTTAGCAACAACAACAACGTAGGTGAGTATTTGGCTGTTCTTTCCCTTAGTCTTTTCATTTTGAATTGACCAACTGTTAATTTGACTCCAGAATGCAATACTAATTCTTGTATTGAGAGATTGAATGCATATGTGCATGTTGGTTGGAAGACAGCTAGCGAGAACTGGATCGTGGCTAATGCTAAGAGGAAGAGTGAAGATACTGGACTAGGGACTGCTGGATGGCCAATTATGTAACTGGAATGTTGTTTAATGTGAATGTTCCTCAACATATTACTGATGATTATATTATAGGTGAAGCCCTTTAATGCTTAGTTTAGTTACCAGTAAAATAAAGATAATGTTGAACTCAGGCAATATTTTGAGCTTAAAATTAGCTAAATTATCTTTCTGAGATTGCTTCAATTGATAATTTTGATGTTGGTATGAAGGAATTATTATCCCCTTTTTCATTTTGTTGGGAAAATTAATTTCTTTTGGTTTCTTATGAAACATCTCATGGAGTATGACTTAGGTTCTTAAAGTTACTACTTTTTCTTGGAAAAATACGGTTTTCTCATTGCACCTTTTCATTTTGAGACATTGTAATGTGAGAATAGTAAAACTTTTGTAGTGGTATTTGGTGCAGTGATTATGTTTCTTGAGATGTGAAATAGCATCCAACAGAACAGTTAAATAGGAAATGTCCCATACTTGAAGAGCAGCTTCTGACCTGAATAGTAAGGACTATTGCTTTCATAGTTTTTTTTTAATAATATTGTAGTCATGTCATTCCAAAGTCTTTGAGCTGAAAGAGACTCTGTTGATGTTATTAAATGCCATTGAGTCCGTTCAGACTCATAGCGACCCTGTATAGGGTTTCCAAGGAGCAGCAGGTGAGTTTGACCTGCCCACCTTGCTGGTCAAACTGACCTTGAGCTCCAGTGCTTATCCTATAGCATCACGATTCCATAAGAGATTCTAGGAATAATTTATTTTGACCTTCCACCCAATCCTGGAAGCCCTCTCTCTGTCTCTCTCTCTCTGTCTATGTGTCCTGGTATGGCACTGTGGGATAATGCACTGGACTACAAGGTCAGTTTGAACCTTAAAGTCAGTGGTTCAAGCTCACCGTCCACTCCTTGGAAACCCTGTGTAGGATCACTATGAGTCAGAACCAACTCGATGGCACAACAAAATGATCTATCCATCTACCTAATTGTTGTTGTTGAGTGCTGTCGAGTTAGTTCTGACTATGGTGGTGGCTGTGTGCCATGGAGTCGGTTCCGACTCATAGTGACTCTGTACAGGGTTTCCGAGGCTATACATCTTTACGGGACCAGAAAGCCTCATCTTTCTCCCGCAAAACAACTGGTAGTTTTGAACTGCTGACCTAGTGGTTTACAGCCCGATTGGTAACCACTACACTACCAGAGCTCCTTTTCTGACTCATAGAGACCCTGTATAGGGTTTTCAAAGAGTAGCTGGTGGATTTGAACCACCAACTTTGTGATTCACAGTCCAGTACTGATCCTACAGTGCCACACAGGAATAGCAACATTTAAATGATTGATTGGTACTCTTGTCCATGTAATGGTCAAAAATATCCATCTGAAAAAACTACTGTCCAACTACAGCACCAAGGTATCCTTGGATTCTTCGTAGTCTGCCAGCAAGAGAACCTGTCTGTACACAATTTGTCCCTGAACTCACCGGATACTCCAGTGATTAAGTATAGTTTCATAGCTAGAGCTTGATTTCTTGAGGGACAGCTGACTTCCAACTCAGTGGAATGTGATACTGCCTAATGGATGTTCTAGGGTCTGTAGACAACCTCATATATGAACTCTGTCACATTCATTCCCTGCCCTCTGCTCAGCATAACCCAGCATAAAATGAGCCTAAGAAGTTTAAATAATAACATGGTTTCTCTACCCCCACCTCCTTTTTTTTAATCTCCAGTTTCACTCTCATCAGCTGTTTCACATCTTTGTGGTTGCTGGAGCTTTCGTTCACTTCCATGGTGTCTCAAACCTCCAGGAGTTCCGTTTCATGATTGGCGGGGGCTGCAGTGAAGAGGATGCACTGTGATACTAACCAGAGTGGCCAAGGACTGACCCGGACCCAGGGCCCTCAGCACCTACAGCCTCCCTTACTGTCCAGTTATGTCAGTAGTACCAGAGGAGCCCCAAACTTTGACAGCCTCGTGGGCTTTGTGATGCCCCAGGGGCTCCATGTGGTACATGATTGAGCAGAGAGAGAGAGAGAGAAAAAAAAAAAAAAATTATACCTCACAGGATGGCGTACATAGATTTGGAGAAAAGGAGAAATGGTCCAAACTGACATTTTCTTTCATCTATTGAGGGCGCTGCAAGACCCATGGCAAACTGGTGTCTGATCTGTATCCTATTTATTTGTAGAAGATGGGAAAACGTTTTAGCTGGTGTTTCTTTTTTCTTCCTTTCTCTCTCCTTAAAACAATAATACAAACCAATTTAGGTGAACATTTATATCCTATTAAGGGGTGGGAGTGTGATTTTAGATGCTCTTTTGGGAGAAAAAGAAATTAATGTAAATAAGATTTCTAACTTACTGTTTAAATAAGAATTTATATAAATGTTTAAAACATAGGGATGGGAGGGAGGGAACATTTTTTTATAGAATGAAACATGCAAGTACCACACACTGTTTCAAATTTGCACAAAGGAATTGTAGGAGGGTCAGATGATAATCGCCCCAGAATGTAGAATGCCTTGGTTCACCAAGGTGCCTTCCAAAGGCTGGCACACCTTGGACCCACCCCGGTGGGGCAGAGAGTATGGCCTTGGCCCAGTGATCTCATGATCTCGCTCAAGCCTAAGAGCTGAGACCGCTGGGAGTCATGAGGTCAAAGGAAGCAGCCTATGGAGGGCTAACAGGATATGGAATAGTAAGGCTCTAATTAAGGTGCCATTTGAGAGACTTGGCTTGTTTCTAGAACCTTTCTAGGATAGACCTACCTACTTGGGAACGTCAATTATGCTGGCATTTAAGGGGTAATGTTAACACGGGGTCAATTTGATTACTTCCTGACATCCTGTTGAATTATTTGGTAATTCTGATCTCTGGAGAGGTGTGCCAGTTTTCCATATCTTTACTATGGAGTTCTGGAATATTCTCTAAATTTCTTTCTTATTAAAATCACTGCCCTAACTACCCTCCCTCCTTTTTGGAATATAAATTGGCATAGTTCTTGGCATGGAGCCAGCCACAAAAGGAATTCTGACTTGTCCAGGTGCCTCTTGAGCTTATTTGCACAGAAGGGGAGTGGAGGGTACCCTTCCTTTTGAATAGGGCAGATAATTTTTGTCTCTGGAATACTGTCTTGGTTAAGTGTAGAGATGATAGACAACTCAGATCTTGAACAAGAAAATTGACAGACTTAACAAGTAGAGTCTAATGCCTAACATGGAGCTATAGGCATGGCAGAGACAGCATGGCAGCAAGTTTAAAAGAGAAGTTGTGGGTCTTTGCTGGGTAGTCTGGTAGAACCTGTAAGGCTGTGTCTTTGAGGAGCTGCTAGGAAAAAAAGATTGTTCCCCTCCTCAAGGATAGCCTGTTACAGGATCAAGGAGAGTGGCAGGGGGAGACTCGGATTCATGGAATTCTGATCTTGCTCACAGGCAGGCAACTAACATAGCACTTGAGTCTTAGATTACTATCGGTCAAGGCTTCCGGTGAGACAGTGACATCCTCGAGATTGTGGGTATTGAAACGAAACATTGACACTCTGAGCACGAGGGCCGAATGTTGGGGACTTTGGGGAGGGTCTCCTGTTTATTCAGTTTAGAATTTTCTTGGCTATTTTTCTCCTATCTCTCCCCTTCCAGTCTCCAGCAAAAGCTGAGAACCAGGAAGAAAGAATTTGCAGTAGAACTTAGTATTTTAGCTCCGCATAAGGTCACTGGCCTCGGTGCTAGGTGGATTGAGCCAGGACTCTGGGTGAACTGGTGCAGTGCCTAACAAAATGAGCAGTATTAATCCCATTGAGGAAACAATCCCATTGAGGAAACAGAGGACAGTGGCCAACTGTAAAAAAGTTCGCTTAGTTCCGTGGGAGCAACAGCACATATTAGAAGCCAGACTTGCTCTTCGGTCATGCACTTTGGGACACAGGGTATATAAAATGCAGCCCTGTAACAACATCAAAAGAAGTAGCAGTCTCTGGCCTGTCACCCCACCCCCACAAAGGAGGAGCTGAATCTGGTTCAGTATAGCACAAACCTTTAGGAATAAATGAAATTAACATCACCAAAATGCATAATCTAGTGAAAACCTCCCTCTTTAGGGTGTGTATGTTTGGGCGTGTGTGTGCCCATTTATATATGTGTGTCTCCGTGCAGCTCACTACCAGCAGCCTCACTGTGCACTTGGTCTTACAGTGCTAGCTGAGAACTCTAACCAGGTTGGCACCTGAATGCCTTACTCTCAGCAGTCAGAGGCTGGCTTGCTCTGTGCAGATTTTAAATTTTCCTTTTTGACCCTAGGCTGGTTTGGACCTCTACAGCTTCATTCTTTTCACCATTAAATAGTGGCCTTTTTCAGTATTTTCCCTTTCCCTTTACAAATTGCTGAAGCCACAAAGCACATTTTTGGGGATCATTGAAGATGTGTGTTCCAGAAAGGTATCTATCTGTATGTTGGCTCCATTCACCATGGGACTGCCCTACTTGCTGTATTCTCAACTTCTTCTAATAAAAGAACCAAATGGAATATGAAATTTTGCTGTGTTTTTTTCCCTGCTTCAGTTCACTTCCCCTAAGCTTTCGGCCTTTCTTACTTGAAACCCTAATTTTTAGGTTTGAAGCTTACAAGATTTTCACTAGTTTCCCAATTTGTGAATGTACAAGTAAAAATGCAAATGCCCAACATACTTTTACCAATTTTTTTCTGATAAAGCTTTTATCATAACCAGGTTTGGGATAGAAGAGAGATGCTGAAGTTTATATATATATAAATAATGTCTAACTTAATGAACACTTTATGCCAGGGACTATTTTAAATGACTTGATAAATAATCATAACAATAGTTATTTGACATCATAAAGAAACTAAAGCTTTGAAAACTCAAGTGTGACTGCAGACTTAAAAACAAGGAGAAAATTGCTTGGGTTTACTATTCTGATTAAACAGTTAATCTGATATAATATGTTGACATAAACAGAAGTTTCTGGGTAGCTGTTAACCTGATTCCTTTTGTGTAATTTCAGAATGGAGAGGAAAACCCGAACCCTTTGCCCTAGGTAAATTTAGTTTTTGCAGGGGAATTTTCCTGTACTTGAACAATAATATATCCATTGTGTATTCTCATTTTAAAGGATAGGTATAACCTTAGGTTTTTCCCACATAACATCTCGATACATGGGGCACTGGATTTGTCCATCTTCAACTGTTGGATGCAGTGAAAAGAGGCCAGTTCTGGCCATTGTAATGGCAACTTAAGATAGGTTGAAATGTACTAGTGTGTAGGGGAGCTCAAGGAAGCAGGGCATTTAACCCACTCCAGAAAACTTAGCATCACTGCTCACCTAAATTGTCACTATCTGTGAAGTTAAAGGGGGTTTAAATGCCAATTCTGCCAACTGTCATTTAACATGGGCAAGATGTTGCTTTTGTATTTTAGTTTTCCTAATAAAATGAACAGACAGACTATCCCTAGCATCCTTCAGTGAGATGCTGTGACTTGGATAAAACGAGATTCAAACTTGCCATGTTA